TTTGCTGGCACTGTGATTCTCCTAACAAGACATATTTAATCTAGTAGCATGATTCATGTAAGCTGTGTCAGTATTACTCGTCTTCCTCATTGCCACACATAGCTGTCCAGTTTCATATAAGCAGGAGAGAAATTGAGAGTAAAATTAGCTATTGGCCCCAGTAAGAGACGAGTGGTGCAAGACCATTAACTGATGGAATAGCAGGACTTGTCTGTCCTTAAAATGCCACAGCCTGATAAATGGATGCTGTGTCCAAAAGATGTGCTCACTTAGCCTTTTTATTTTAATTTAGATTGATGGCAATACAAATAACTAAGCTGTTCGCAGTCCTCATAGGCACGGCAAAATGGGAGTATTAGTGCCCAGGGAAGCTGCTGTGCAAGGCGGTCAGCTGCTTCATTGCAGATGATAAGCTCTGTCAATGGCGGTTACGTGTCCTGTCTGGATCTTTCAAGACAGCTCAATTGCCTGTCATTTCCAAGATGAAAAAGAGCTTGAAAGCAAACAGCATAGTATTCATTTCATGGAGGAGGAGAAAGAGGTTCAAAGTTGATACTGAAACATATGTTAGTAGAAAATTATTAATAATTTAGTGTTTAGTAATCAGTTACCACCCACTTCCATACTTTGGTAAAAGCCTCATTTCAACTTGCTCACCATTTCATCTTCCAGAAAGCTAAATGAACAGCTGTTGTGTACTGGTTCTATCTCCTGTGATGGAAGAGATGTACCCAAAATGTTAATGACTTTCCTGCGTGTATGCAGATCTTTGCAGACTGTTAATATCATACCAATTATTATTAGTACATTCTTGTTGAAGGTATAGATATATGACCTTCTCTGGGTTCAAAATGAAGCTGAATTACAAATTCAGCTGGGTTATTGGGAAGGACAGCCAAAACCTTTTCTTCCTCTGTTGGCAGTAAGCTTGGCTGTAATTTGAAGAAATTATTGAAGGGACAAAATATGCAATCACACAGTGTTAGTCTGTGTCAGCTCTGATGAAAACTGATTGACTTAAGAAGCCTTATGAATGCTTTCTCAAATGTTATCATAAATCATCACTTAATCACTTGTTTCGTTTTCACAGACATGTTAAGAACTGTGCTTTACCTGAGTTTTGGTGAAAGAAAAACAGATACTATGCAAGAGAATTCTTACAAGGTACTAAAGCCAGGTTTCAGTTGAATTAACTTTGCATTGTGTATGGACTCTTTTTCCTCCTGTGCTTTTGTGCAGCTTGTTAGATGTTGCTGCTTAGCAAAGGGAAAGCCTGAAATACAAAAAATCGGTCACTTTTGATGTTCAATTTGGAAAAAATATTGTGCAGAGGCTAGTAGATCTCTAGAGTACCCTTAAGTGTCAGTGGGCTGATGCCGGCAAGCTGGTTCTAGGCTCCTGTCAGTTAAAGGAGCAAGAAAGTCTGCCTCTGAACTGATCACGAAGCCAGGCTTGGTCAGAAGGGAAAGATTTCTATTACACAGAGAGGATTTTGTAGACCATAGGTTTGATAAGATAATTGCCTCTTTTCTACCTGTACTCAGAGGTGAAAGTGTGGTTCATCTTCTCTGTTTCGAACACTTCTCTGACATCATTGTGAATAGACTGAGTCTAGAAAACAAACTTTGATTTGTATGCCTAACTTCTAGACGTCTGAGACAGGTGAGATGAACCTTGCATCTCTCCTAGTGTAGCACAAGGTTTGTGCAGCACAGGACAGGCTTTTTCTCCCAGAGAGCTGAATCGCTGTTATCCCGGCTTCCTCCATGAGATCTACATAATATAGGCTGATATCTCGGCTGTGGCTTGAGGCTGTCATGTAGATCTGGTGCAGTGTTTCCCTTAATCTGGGACTCAGTGGGCTGGGAGTGGTCACAGATTAGATTGACAAACTGTCTGCGGTTGCATGTGGGTCTCAGAGATGGGAAGCAGAAAGTCAGGCTGACAAACAGAAGTGTATGAGGCAACTACAGACCTAAGAGAGAATGATGAGAGTAAAATCAAGCATCACTGTCATTGTGTGAATAAACTGACAAAACAGTGCGTTTAGTAGCCTTAGCAAAGCATGAAGAAGTGGAACTGGTCTGGAAGCCATGACAAGGGCAAGAAAATAGGATGCTTCTGAAACTAATCAGTATAGATGTTATGTTGATTTGGGTCAGAAAGAGAGAAGAGTCAGCTTTTGATATGTATTACTTGCAGGAGGTGAAATCAAGATGCTTAATACCAGTTCATGCGTACTAAGTAATGGCTTAAAGCAAACAGCCCTTTCTGGTGGACCTATGTGAAATCACGTTTCTCCACAGAGCTCAGAAATGGAATAGTTGGCTCATGTCAGCTTTTCAAGCTGACCTGGAATCACTGGTATCTATCGGGGAACAAGAGAGAGTAAGCCTATGGTTTGTGTTCGCTTCAAATTTTTTTAATCTTCAAGTATTTTTTATACAGGGAACATGCAGCTACTGAAACAGAAGGAAACAGCAGCACTCACTTTCATAAGATGATTTTATTTCTATTGTGTTTCACGTTTTATTTCAGTTTGCCAGCCTCTTTATTCTTAGCATTACTTGGAAATAGAGTCCACTTATCTCAGAAAAAAACCTCAAACGTTAATTTTGCTTTTTGAAAGGAGGAGAGGGAGAAGTAAGTAGCAGGTACTGCAACATTGTTGTGGTTTAGCTGTCGCTATCAGCCAAACTCCCACCCAGCTGCTCAGTCCCTACCTCTCCTCCTCAGCAGGATCGAGGGAGAAAATGGGAAGAATAGGAGGGAGAGAAAAATAATGGTTTGAGATGAAGACAGGGAGATTATTTGCCAATTACTGTCGCAGGCAAAGCAAATTCAACTTGGGGAAAATTGACTTAATTTATTTCCAATTAAAATAAAAATGTAACCACTAATTTGGGTAGTGGGAAACAAAAAGGCAAACATTGAAACAACACTGTTCTTCCCCCCTTTCCCAGGCTCAACTTCATTTCTTCACTCATGACTCCTCTACTCCTTGCACCCATTAAACCCCGAGTAGCACAGTGGAGATGTGGGATTATAGACAGTATACGATGGTTTATCTCTGCTACTCCTTCCTTCTCACTCTTTTCCTCCACTCCAGCATGGGACGCAGTTCTTCAGGAATATCCATTTGCTCCAATGTGTTCTCCTCCCCAGGCTGCAGCATGAGTCTCTGCTCTGGCACCTGGAGGACCTCCTCCTCCTTCTCCATCATTTTATTTTTTGCTTCATTTATGTCATGCAAGTGGCCCATATACACCTTAGGTATGTGAAAGGTGCATGATAATGTTATTTACCTTGCTGAAGGAATGGAAATAACATCCACCTCAGCCCTTCTGTGCAATCTAGAGAAAATGGCATATAATTTTCTTACCAGGTTTAAAGCACACAACTAATACTATGTCTTTTGATTGACTCTGGTTGCTACTTCAATAACAAACACCAGGGTTATTTTTATCTTCCTAGGAGAAAACATGTGAAGTTAAACTGAAGAAAAGTGAAATCTGAAGATAACTGTGCTTCTTCAGAGCATAAGGCACTTACTGAATAAACATGCAAAAGACTTTGACACTGACAAAGGGAAAGTATTTTTAGGTGCAATGCTCTTAATCTATGGACCAGCTTCTGAAATACCATTTGTATCAGAGTAACTCCCTGTGCACTAGATAGTGGAAGGCTTTCGGGAATTACGTGAACACTTTAGGAGACCACAGTAGTCCCCAAAAAATTAATTGTACTTAAAAAAAAAAAAAAGTGGGAGCTGGAAGCAATTCTAAATAGTAATATAGAATAAATTAGTAGGTTTTCCTATGCTACTAAAGCATTAATAAGGTCCAGAGCTTAAAGTATCACTTCAGATGCTTAAAATACTTTGCAGTATTCGAACAAATAACAAACAACGGCTGAGAACACAAATATTCTATTTCAGGGTATAAGCCAAAGACTAACACACAGACAAGAAATATTTTAGTTTATAAGTACTTCAACTACAAGACAAAGAATCCTACAATTAGATAAAGCAATCTATTGCTGGTTACACAGACGGAGTGAGATTGCTCCTGGAACTCGCCTGTTATGAGATCTGACTACATCTTTTCTAGTCTATACTTCTACACTACTGTGTTGCGAAAGTTTTTATGATTGTTAATCTAGGTTTTATATCTTCAAAGACAAATTAATAGAAGGTGTGTTGGGTTTTTTTTTTATAAAAAGTTGGCATTTCTCCAGTGCCATTTCTGATGTTGACCCAAGGAAGACATTGAGATTGTTAATCACTTAAAAGTAAAGACAGCTCTATAGTTAGCAACCGTTGAGGAAAGTACTGGTTTACATCCTCTATAAATATTTAATTACCAAAGAAAATAGGATGGATCTGTTATGCTACAAGTGACTTCCTGCATCTGATTACAAAAAGGATTCTCAGTTTGAAGCCTGATCTGTTTTACCTGGAGCAGTTTATTTCTTGGTTACACTAAAATAACCACATTTGAGTCTTGAAAAAGTACTTTACAAAATTCTAGAAAACAGTAAAAAATGCTTTTCTTGGTTTGCAGTTGTTATCTGCTATTTGCAGCGCTCTTACTCAAGGTGCTTAAATTTATTTTCCTTCTTTTAGTTGCATGATTTTTTTCTCATATTTATGTCTTACTTCCTACTTTTCTTGTTTCTGACACCCAATTTTGTGAAATTTTAGTGATATATAGATTTTAGAACTGTGATTTTGTTTTAACAAGTTGGAGTCTATTGCAGCTTGAAAAAACTATGAAAAGTCTGTTTATTCAGTCCAACTTTGATGTCTAAAGTTACTTGATAGCATCCTTCTAACAGGGCAGATGAGATTACAATTGGAAACTCATCAAAGGAATTTGATACCTCTCTTGGTCCTGGACATTACTGTTAGCTGTCCTCAGCTTCTGAAGTAGAATTGGTGCCTGAGTAAAGGTGCAAGCTCTTTTTCAGCTGGGAAAAGCAATAAAATTAATTCTGCTGGAATGGATGAAAAAACCGATCACCCAGCAGCTAAACCTGAAGAAGAAATAAGTGTAAGTAGGTGACTTCAGCGTTCTTGATTTCATACTCTTCTTGACACTACTAGATCTCTTCTGATCCAATTCTCAAGTATTAAACTTTACACCTCAGTTTGATTCGTTATAACTTTCTGTTTTATCACTCAGTCTGAAAATGCCATCATATGTTTGTATACATTCAGATTGCTAGCAACATCTATTTTCAGCCAACGGAAATAACAGCAATGTCAGTGTGATAATAGGAAAAGCTTGTATCTGTGTCATGGAAGCACGTTTTTCCAACAAGAAATCAATTTCTAGGCAAGAAAGGCAACATTGAAGTAGGTAAAGTGTTTTGCTTTGCCCTGGGAAGGTACAGAAGGGAATTATTGCATAAGCATTAACTCATGACAAAGAAGCAATTAAATAATTCAGCGTATGGTGATAGTCAAATTGCAGTTTTAGCTGGAAACCAATTCTAGAGTACAAGCACTAAGCTGCAGTAGAGAGGAAAGCTGAATTAGGAATTACAATCCTTATTGAAGGAAGGGAAGAGCTTAACTTTGCCTTTGTTTTTCTTACAATAACGCGTTTGTGGTAAGCTAATATGACCTAGGGAAGTAAATAAAATGTAGAGCATAGCATTCAATGTTCCTGTGAATCCCACGTAATAGAGAACTTTGCCATGCAAGTCTTGATACAGGAAGTGCATTTTTTAAAATAAGATTAGCATTGCGGTAGATGTAATGCAGGCACTAGTTGTTTCAGGTGTATACTTGTAGTCCAGTGATGTCAATCTTGAGCAGTCTTTAATGATCCTTGATAGGAACTTTGTATTTATTTTTTGAGAATAAATCTGTCTGGTTAGGTCTGCAGTTACAAAGATGAATGACATGGGAAAACATAAATATAAAATACTCTTTGGGGAACCTTGACGAAAGTGGCTCAAATTTCAGATGTCAGAACTGAGCATTCATTCAGCTGTCTCAAGCTGTCCTATTGAACACCTGAGCGTATAAGGGAACTTTACATGACAGGGTGGAGCTTTAAACAAACACATAGGCAATTTTGTTTTCATCCCTATACAGATTTATACCAAATAAGATTTTTTAAATTACAGAAGACAGGCAAATTGAATCCTTTTTGATACCATGCAAAACAAGTGCAGCTAATTACCTGGACAGAAGATATGAGTCTAAAATCTTCCAGTTCAGTGTTTTCACATTTTGTTTGATGAAGTTGTGAAGTGTACTACCAGATCTTATTACTCTACTTGTTATTACTTTGTACTCATTTTTCTTCTCAGCTTTGAATATTCTCCACTCTGAGGTCAAAGATTGCTAGCCATTGCATTTGACTACGGGACTGGCAGAATATTTGTGGTGATGTTGATTGCGCTCTCCGTGAGGATACACAAACACCTCTTATTGAAAGCATTACTAGGGTATCATAAAAAAAATTACTTTGGTGGAGACTTCTGAAGGTTTTTAAGTTTTTAAAAAGCTGGCCAACATCAGAATCAGAACAGATTTCCTGGGGCATTGTCCTGCTGACTTTTGAATATCTCCAGGGATGGAGGTTCCCTGACCTCTCAGGGCATGGCTCAGGTGCATGGCTGCCATGGTGAAATACGTCCTGCTCCCGCCAAGTCTAACTGGAATTTCCGCTGGTGCCCTGTGTGACTGTTGTGGCCGTCTCTTCACTGGGCATCAGTGAGAAAAGGGTGGCTCTGTTTTCTCCATAACCCACTTCAGGGAGGAAAATCTGTAATTAGATTTACTCATGCTGACTTTGCCTTCTTGTCTCCAGCTAAACAATCCCAGGGCTCTCAGCTTTTTGCTGTACATCACATCCTCCAGCCCCTCGCCTCTTGATGGCCATCCCCTGGAACCACTCCAGTTTATTGACATCTCTGTTATACTGATGGGCCCCAAACTGGGCACAGTACTTCAAATGTAGCTCTGCTAGTGTTGGGCAGAAGCAAACAATCACTTATTGTAGATTATTTCACAGTATTGCTTTTGCAAATGTTGTAGTTATGCTTGGCATTTCCTGGGTGTCAAGCTCCATCAGCATATGGTTTTTGTAGGTACTGAATTAAACTTAGCATCCCACATTGATAACTTGGAATGCAGTTCTTAGCTGGTACTCCCTGACTTTCACAGTCTTCTCTCTCCTCAAGTGAAATATAGTTAGTACGGATGAAAAATTAATCTTGTGCTGACGCCTTTTTGTCTACAACAGGCCACACTCTTGCAGTGTACCTTCTGAGAGGCTTCAAAGCATGAAATAATGGCAAATAGCCTGGCAGCTTGTTGCACCCCTTCTCCTCTCTGCCTACCGCTTGTAGGTGTATGGAGGCTAAGAAAGGTCTGTTGAGCATAGGGAACAGCCAGATCTGCCCAAGTCAGGGTCTGTGCTGTTGTATGTGCCTCTGTTCTAGCATGGTTGTGAATTCCTCAGTGTATTTTTGTGGGCATAGAAGCGGATAGGTGATGGGACAAGGGTTTGTCTCTCAGCAGAGTGAGGCTGTCTGCACCTTGAGCAAATCATAGACCAGTTATCATTGGTCTTTGTAAGGGATTCTTGATTTGCATTGCTGAGAGATGATGTAACTCTGAGTAGGTCCTAGCCCACAAGTAGCATAACATCAGCTGTGAGATGGGGAGACCCACTTTGAAGATGTGCTTAAAATGAATCAAACTATTCAAAAGACAAGGAAAAAGATGCCTTTTTGTTTTGGTCTTCATCTATAAAATGGTGAAGTTCAGTTTCATCTTTGTATATGTGAGCACCTAAGCCAGCTCTTGTCTCAAAGGCTGTTTTGTGCTTCAGAGAAGACTTCCCACTAAAAGCCTTGCTGCCGATTGCTAACAGGTGTTTTGTCAACACCTGCAGTCACGGAGAGCCCACAACTTCCTAAGGCAGCTGCTTGAGAGCTGCCCTCTCACTAGCATCAACATGTTTTTGGAATATTTTTCCTGAGTGTTCCTTACTGATGTGACAATACTGTGTAACTTATGTGATAGTTGTGCCATAAGGAGGAAATTAAAAATTTTTTATAGTAATACCCAGTGTGCTTGGTCATTAATGTCCTAAGTGGTCCAGGAGCTTGCCAGCTAACCTCAGCATAGATGAGACAACGAATTGACTTGAGAAAAGGTGATGGAACCTCTCGCTGACCTCACAACAAAGTGTTGGACTGTCACAAGTGCTCTCCAAGGAGGAATTTTATGAAGTCCCAGAGCTTTCCCCAGCCAGCTCTTACTATGCCTGCAGCAACTGACAGACATTATTTGTATGCTTAAAAGTGCTGATTATCTCCTGCAGAGGAAAATGCCTGGGGTAGTGTCTGGTACAAACAGATTTTCCACAGCACAGCAAACTGTAGATAGATAAGAGACTTACAGAAAGCAGAAGCTGCAAATGCAGAAATGGTCACATAGTAATCTTTTGCACCTAGATATGATGGTCAGGTGATATTTTGAACCTAGCTTTAGAAATTTTGGGACCGCAAGTCAAAATAAATTGTCAAAGGGCTGGATATCCAGGCGATGACCTTGTCCAGGTCACATCCCACCAAGACTTGTGCTGTATTTGCCTGTTCACTGGAGGGGACTTCTCAGAGGGAGCTGGATGTGCAGGAGGGGGATGTCTGTACCCGCTACTCCTCATTCTGGAAGGAAGCGGAGACTATTTTCTGAGGAATGAATGGGTTGAGCCTGCTTGTATTGGTATAGTTCTGGTCTGATAAGAAAGTGGCTTTTTTCTTTGAACAGCAGTGACAGTTTGACCATGGGCAGGGAGGAAACATGTGGAAGATAGTGTGCATATGCCTTTCTCTTGGTTCTTTAGCAGGGAAATGACAAGCCGCAATATAGGAAAAAGAATCAACTGAATATCATGCTAACCTCTCCCGCCCACTTCACACAAAGGGAACGAATGGCTGAATGTGTGTCTGCTTCTGCACCAAGCTTGCATAAGCGTAGCAACAGTTTGGGTCATGAGACACCTTGCTAGCTGATAATTCGGGTTGTGCAAGGTAATTGAGCATTGTCTACCCTTTGGACAAAAGAGGGCTAATTTACAGTAACGAGGGATGCACAAGGATGTCGTATGGTGACATATTATCCTAGGGTACACTGTGTTTTTATGTCCTTATGCGATAGGGACTGAATGTTATATCAGCAAGTGTCTGGAAGAAAAAGGTCTTCCTTTCTGAGTGGAGTTTTAAACTGCTATTAGGTTAATCATAGTTGTGTATATGCAGTAACAGACAAATATGTGTGGGAATCTGTTCTAGTCTTTGGTCAGTCAATTAGATAAGTTGCACATTTTTTGTTGTCTTTCACCTTATTTTAGGTAGCCAACATCTCAGTCCAAATGGTAGCTGCAGAAGATAAGTTGGCAAAGAGGATTCTGGCGAGGAAAAAACATGGCAAATTGAAATTGAAGAAAAAAGATAAGTTGCTGTTGAATTTTCAAAACAAAATAATTCTCTTTACCCTCATTCTGTTCATTTTAGGAGTTGTAACCTGGACATTACTGTGGCTCTTCATTGGTGAGTTGCTGAAAGCTCATGCCAGTTTCATACCTCACTGTCCCCAATAGTACTTTCAGTTGGGTTTAAGATCTCACTCGTCCTGAAGGCTGTTTTTAAAATAAACATGAAACTTACTTAAATGGGATCTGAAAGGCTTTTGGGTGTCTTTTGTTAAGACTTCAAATGGTTGAATTAACAAGTCATTATAAGAGCAGGCATAGCTGCTGGCTTTAGGAAGTGCGACCTTTTATTTTAAGTGTTATGCAAAACATTTTTTCACATGTGCTAGCTAATTGCACAGAACCGACAGTTCCTATGAACTTGATTCCTCAAAATTTGACTTCCACTGTGTTTCTTGGCCTGTTGAAGGCCAGGCAAGTCCTTTGTCTCTCATGCAGAATAGATTTAAAGAATTAAATCGGAGTAAAACATAGAAGGCAAATATTTATTTTAAGACTTATAAAAACATTGGACAAGACAAGAAATTATCACTTCTGTGGAGTGTTTCCTTCTCGCTTTATGTCTAAGCGGGCAGTAAAAGCTATGTTCTCCTCTTGAAACCTCCAGTGCAAATATTGCCTAAGATTCCTTAGGGATGCTCCAGAAGTTAGATGTTGCTATTGCCTTTGTTATGCTGGTTCATTTGTAAGGTGGTATCTTATCTTGCATTCAGGGAACAGGTGCTCATGTAATCTTGCTATTGTGGTACTCATCTAGAACAGTTCGGCTGTGAAAGCATAGTGTTCTTTCGGTAGTCCTCTCCACTGTAAGTCTGAATAATTTGGTTTAGAGTTTAATCGGGGAAAAAAACTCTTTTCTTTTCTTTAAAAAAAATGTAAAAAATGGAGGCTAACTGTCGTCTTCGTTTCTTGCAGTTCAGGCAGAAAACAAAGAGGCATTGTATTTTGTTGGACTGTTTCGTGTTGCCAACATAGAGTTTCTCCCGGAATATAGGCAGAAGGAGTCAAAAGAATTCCTCTCTGTGGCACAGAATGTGCAGCATGTGGTAAGATGAGTGGGCTGCTTGGCTAGCAATAAGATCAGAGCTGTGAACGAGAGGTGCAACTTTCAGGTGCCATAGAGTCTGCTGTGGTGTTCTGCCTTTTATTCTTTCCTTTTTTTTTTTTTTCCCCCTCTTCCCACCCTCTTCCCACTTCTATTGGAAGGCTGTGTACAAAGGGTGGCTATCTGGAGGCAGGAAAGAACTGAGTGCTTTCAGCTTGTTAATCACAAACTGAGTTTTGAAAAGGTCCGTTTGACTTTTACATTTACTAAAAAAGTTACGTATTTCCCCCCACAAATTGGAGTCTACGAGTAGAACTCTACACAAACTTAATTGCCACTTTTGAGACATGAAACTGATGAAGTCTTTTGCATTTAAATTGGTATCTGCTGCCAGTCTTCTGCCTTAGAGCATCTATAATTACCCTAGAGCTCTCAACCATATTTACATTTCCGTTTCCTCTGATGCCAGGTATTCTAAAGACCATTATTCTTCCCAAACACCTTGTATCAGTCATAACAGAAATTACAGAGTGTTGCAGGCAGTTAAGGCTGCTCTAGAGTGGGAAGAAAGGCATGGGAATCTTGTTTAAGAGCAAATTTGACTTTAAAGACATTTGGTGTGTGGAGGAAAAAGACATTAATGCCAGGAAATACAGCACTGTCCACATAAGGTTTCAAGCAATAGTAAGAAAGCTGATAAGCAAACAAGAAAATAATAATAGCGTCAGGTGGAACCAAGAGATTTTTCAATAATTGCTAAGTCTTAGTCGTCCTATAATTTGAACTCCTGTTCCTGTTTTCCAACTCTATCTCCGCCACCCCCACCCCCCAAAAAAAAAGCTGGATCACAGAAGACTTGAAAGCAGATAGTGTAGTTTCCCTAGTCTTGCACCTCAACTTATGAAGTGCGTTCAGGCAGGGGTGACAGACAACAAGCACAAGTGTCCTTTCCTCATTCTTCATGGAGCAACTCTAACCTGCTGTGAGCCTCGTGTCTTGCTGCTTTCCTAGAGTACCCTGCTGTTGTTGCACATAGTGGAAAGAGGTGACAGCAGGTGTGAACTGCCAGCATCACCACCTCCTACTTGAACATAACTTGGAAAATATTTTTTGTCTATAAACTTTGCCTGAACTCACCAATGAATTTCACATTGCAGAAACTGCAATTCTTGGTGATACGACTCTTGACTAAAATTGCTGGCAGGGATGTGGGGAATTTGAGGTTTTGTCTATTGTTCTCCTTGAAACCATTTTGTTCACGGTTCCTGGCCCAGAGACCCCCAGATGGGTAGTGGAAGAACCTCTCAAGATAGGCTTCCTTGCCCTTCAAAAGTAACAGTAATACATAAAATCCCTTACAGCCTTTGCTTCAAAATAATCTATGTTACAGTCGCTTGGGGATTTATTTTAACCACTAAGCAGCACGATGAGGCCTGAACAGCTTGAGGTACATGCCACCTTGTGGCTTTAGAAGTGTGCCTCTTTGAACAAGAGGAATGAAGGTTAGCGTCACACAGGTATCGTCACACAAATACAAAGAACTGGTGGAACTGAAAGCTTGCTTTCCCCAAAGGCAGTCCTACAGCATGATATAAACAGAGTTGTTCCTTCTCCACATTCATTATACTGTGTATTGGAGAAAAATATGTTAATACTGAGCTGTTAGTGAAGAAAATAGATAAATATAACACATTAGAAACATAAACATAAGAAAAAATTGTTTAACTGTGAAGGTGGTCAAACACTGGAGGAGGTAGTCCAGAGAGGCTGTGGAGTCTCCATTCTTGGAGATGTTCAACTGGATGTGGCCCTGAGCAGCCGGGTGTAGTTGATCCTGTTTTGATTAGAGGGGTTCAACCTGATGCTCTCCAGAGGCCCCTTCCCATCTCAGTCATTCTGTGAAAAAAGCTCTGATATGTACAGTTAACTGCATCTTAGTAACAACACAGAAAATGTTATGAGTATGTGCTTATTTCCTGAAGATTGGCCCCAAGTTTCAGCATCAGGATAGGGAAGCCCTCCATGTTTGAGAATTGGTGGGCAAAGAATGCGCACTTTTTTCAAAACTCATTTGTTTGGAAAGAGCATTGCTGTACATGTTAGCTGGCCATGGGCAGAAGATTTGATGTTTCCTGTGGGAATACTGGACTTGTTATGGGGCCATTGCGGAACTGGTCTGTTCATATCTGCTGCTCTGCCTAGCTTGGCTGCTCTGTGACTGGAAATGTGGACAAATTGCATATTCTAGTGGAAAACAGGATGTTTCTAGGAAAGCCTAAGCATATAACATCTTTAGGTGTGGCTGCTTTTCAGAAACGCTAACATTGGCTTAACACTTTCTCTTTCAGATGAACTTGGTCTACACAACCTCCTCTTTCTCCAAATTTTACAAGCAGTCCACAGTTTCAGAAGTCAGGTAAAACTGTGGTTAATGCAGTTGTATTTCTGCTGGATAGTAAATATTATAATGACACCATGAGAGAAACCTACTTTTGAAGGTTATGATTTAGTCTTTTTCCTATGCACTTCTACTGATAACAAAATACATTTATAACCTGTATCAATTCATTTCACAAAAGTAAGGACAAACTGAAGTCATATAAGCAGTTCCTTGTCTGCCGGGTGTACAATCTGAGGTAAACAGAAATGATGTTCCTAAAGAAGTTTGGTGATGCTTTGACTAATAGGTCACACAGATGTTTAACCACTTAAACATGCTATTGGAGTGCAACTCTATGTTATTGACAGAGTTGCACGTACTTTATAAGTAATGTTATTGGTATAAAACTGTTTTCTGCTGACAGAACAAGGGGAAAATCCCTATACTGCAATAAAGTACATTTACTCTAATATTATGTATGCAGTTAATGCTAGAGGAATAGTTATTCCAATCCAATGATTTTAGGAGATAATCCAGCTCTAATTCAAGTAGCTATGATGATATCCATAGATCTCAAAAGTCAGGAGCCCTCAGGAAGTCAGCCTGGTGAAGATCCCCAACTGGGTGTGAGGAGTGTTTTTTGGTATTGGGAGCTTTTCTAAAAATTATTTATGTTTTAGGAAAGAAAATATATTCGGTGTGTCAAAGAAACAAGGCAAGATGGAAATAATCCATACTTTTATGAATTGGTACTTCAGAAGCTTGTGTTGAGAGTCTAGCCTTCAGAAAACTTTCAACATGATGGTAATCTGTAGGACCTTTTTATTTCAGTAACAACAACAATGGAGGCCTCCTTATTCATTTCTGGATCGTATTTGTGGTACCACAGGCGAAAGGCCAAGTGCTGTGTGAAGATTGTGTGGCTGCTGTCTTAAAGGATTCCATTCATACAAGTATCATTAACCGGACCTCGGTAGGAAGTCTTCAGGGCCTTGCAGTCGACATGGACTCCATTGTACTGAGTGGTTAGTATCAAGCACATACCCATACCCTTGAGGAAAGCCTTCATTAAGCAAACATTTTTATCTTCGAGTAGCAAGTTTTATGAATAAACCAAAATCTTTCTCCAGCATCTTTAGCTTCTAATGCTAAAGTTCTTATTTTTATTTTTAGAGAAAGGAAAAACAAAAAGAGATTTGAGGTCAAATCAAGGTATAAACTATCCTTGTGAACACTGATGGCAAAACTTTCCTTACTTGGAATGCTGATGTTCAATTTCAGGAGCTAAGCCTGACCCTTTGTAGACAGCTCAGATCTGGTTTATTCTGTGACTTTAAAAGTATAAGAAGACAACGGATTCAGGTTTTCACATAGATAAAACTTTAGCCCCTCCACTAGAAATGAGATTCTTGTCACTCTTTTATTAAAGATTCAGAAATGGATTATAAATCTGCCCATTTGTTATACTCCTGTGCCATTCCTGCCTGGGGAAAAAATTAGCAATGTAGGATTCAAGTATCTCTTTAATGTAATTGGCTACAAAATGTTGTATGATTTGCAGCTCTATGTAAAAAGTACAGAACAAGCTTAATTTAAACAACTCTGTTAACTGAAAGCTGAAAAAGACTGTAGCCAAGAGTGAGAGAATGACCTCTTGGGTGCCTCTGTCTCAGTCCTTCAATTAAATTTGACTGCTTAATTGACATGCAGTCTCTTCTTGCTTCAGGCGCTAAGATGTCTGGGGACATGATACCTCCAAAGCTGCTTGCAGAGTTTGCAGAAATGAAGGGGATTTTGGGAAGCCTCCCTTCCTGAGAGAACTGTTTTGCCCTGTGTGTTTAGTGTTATGATTAAAGAAGTGCAATTGAATTAAACCCTGAATTCTGGATTTTGGGCAAATGAGGAGACTCACACAACTCTTTTTTCTGTGCAGCAGGTCTTCGGTCAGATTACTGGTCAACAACAGGCACAGGTAATTCACCATTTTGGCATCTTCCTGGCAGAAGAGAGGTGGAGAACAAAGCATTTAGTTCAAGTCTTAAAGACACTGTTCAGTGTTAATTTAAAAGGATTAAATTCAGCCTTGGCATTTATGCCCTAAGCTGCTGTAAGAGTGACCCAAAGTCTTGCAGGTTACAAACACAGAAACTGCCTGCCTTTAGTCTGACTGGTAAATTTTTCAGCTGTACCTGGAGGCATGGTAGGAAATAATCTCTGTCAGTTAGTTGTTTGCTATTCACTCTGTGTTGAAGAGAAGATTAAGCTTTTCTACACTGGACAGTACTGAATTTAAATCTATTTATTGGCTTTGGAGATAAACAATAGCAATGATTTCATCCATCTTTTATCCTCCTTTACTCCCTTTTCTTCAAGGTTAATGATGAGTTTTTCTTTCGAATGAATTCGCTAACAGAAATTAGCTTAAGCACTTCACTTTTGCCAGGGTTATGGGAGACACTACTTATATACCTGATTGGTTTCGTGTTATAAACCTCCCAGTAGGGTTCTTCAGCAGTGTGCAGTGACTTTACAAGCAGTTTAAAAGTACAGTGCATCTATGTTCCCTAATATGTGGAGTAGGTACCTAGAAAAAATGCACGACTAGGCTAAGCAATAGTATGCTAATCACCTTTGATGCAGACACCTGATCATCACAGACCCACAGAATGGTAGGGGTTGGAAGGGACCTCTGTGGATTGTCTAGTCCAACCCTTCTGCCGAAGCAGCGTCACCTACAGCAGGTTGCACAGGACCTTGTCCAGGCAGGTCTTTAATATCTCCAGAGAAGGAGACTCCACAACCTCCCTGGGCAGCCTGTTCCAGTGCTCCGTCACCCTCAGAGGGAAGAAGTTCTTCCTCATGTTCAGATGGAACTTCCTGTGCTCCAGTTTGTGCCTGCTGCCCCTTGTCCCGTTGCTGGGCACCACTGAAAAGAGTCTGGCCCCATCCTCTTGACACCCACCCTTAAGATATTTGTAGGCATTTATAAGGTCCCCTCTCAGCCTTCTCTTCAGGCTAAACAAACTGAGTTCCCTCAGTCGTTCCTCGTAGGAGACATGTTCCAGTCCCCTCATTATCTTTGTAGCCCTCCGCTGGACTCTCTCCAGTAGCTCCTAATCTTTCTTGAACTGAGGAGCCCAGAACTGGACACAGTACTCTAGGCGGGGCCTCACTAGGGCTGAGTAGAGGGGGAGGAAAACCTCCCTTGGCCTGCTGGCCACACTCAGTGCACCCTAGGATACCATTGGCCTTCTTGGCAACAAGGGCACACTGCTGGCTGATGGTCAACCTGTCATCCACCAGGACACCCAGGTCTTTTTCGCAGAGCTGCTCTCCAGCAGGTCTGCCCCAAGCCTGTACTGATGCATGGGGTTGTTCCTCCCCTGGTGCAGGACCCTGCACTTGCCCTTGTTGAACTTCATCAAGTTCCTCTCTGCCCAACTCTCCAGCCTATCCAGGTCTTGCTGAATGGCAGCACAGCCTGCTAGTGTTATCCACCACTCCTCCCAGTTTTTTGTCATCAGCAAACTTGCTGAGGGTGCACTCTAACTCTTCATCCAGGTCATTGATGCAGAAGTTGAGTAGGACTTGGCCCAATACTGACCCCTGGGGAACACCACTAGTTACCAGCCTCCAACTAGACTCAGTGCTGCTGATGTCAGCACTCTGAACTCTGCCATTCAGCCAGTTCTCAATCCACTTCACCGACCACTCATCCAGGCCACACTTCCTGAGCTTCCCTAGGAGGATGTTATGGGAGACCGTGTCGAAAGCCTTGCTGAAGTCTAGGTAGACAACATCCACGGCTCTTTCCTCATCTATCCATCTGGTTATACCATTGTAGGAAGCTGTCAGATTGGTCAAGCATAATTTCCCCTTAGTGAATCCATGCTGACTACTCCTGATAACCTTCTTTTCTTCCACTTGCTTGATGATGGCCTCTAGAATGAGTTGCTCCATCATCTTTCCCGGCATGGAGGTGAGGCTGACAGGCCTGTAGTTTCCTGGATCCTCCTTCTTGCCCTTTTTGAAGATTGGAGTGACATTGGCCTTTCTCCAATCCTGGGCCACCTCTCCTGTCCTCCAGGACCTCTCAAAGATGATGGAGAGTGGCTCAGCAATGACATCCGCCAGCTCCCTCAGCACTCGTGGGTGCATTCCATCGGGGCCCATGGATTTGTGGGTGTCCAGATTACTTAAGTGATCTGTCACACAGTCCTCCTCGACCAAGGGAAAGTCATCCTCTCTGTAGGCTTCCTCTCTTGCCTCCAGGGTCTGGGATTCCTGAGGGCCAGTCTGAGCAGGGAAAACTGAAGCAAAGAAGGCATTCAGTAACTCTGCCTTCTCTACATCCTCCATCACCAGGGCACTCACCTCATTCAGCAGTGGCCCCACATTATCCCTAGTCTTCTGTTTGCTGCTGATGTACTTGAAGAAGCTTTTCTTGTTGTCCTTGACATCCCTTGCCAGATTCAATTCCAGATGGACCTTGAAGTCCACCTGGAAAAACTCTCTTGGGCCAGCAGTTGTCAATCAAGTAGGGATGTGTTGGTCTCCCTTGATCCGTAACACAGGCTTACTTTTCATCTTGTGAAGTTGCACTATTTTGGTTTTTTAAGGGCTTTGGTTTTTTCCAGGTCTGTATTTGTCTTTTCTGAGATGTGAACTTGTACTACTGCAACGATTACTTTTCTATCCGTGATTTCAGCTTCTGTTATCTTGCAAGGTTTAGTCTTGCATACTTTCTCAGAATTCAACAATTACTTTAGTCAGTGCAGCCAAGTCAAGGTCTCCTAGTACTGCTGTCCACAGGTGGACTTTGCATCACATACCCTGGGCCATGGTTTGCAATGCTTGGATTGGCATCAGCCCATAATTTCTCAAAATTCAAGTCAAGTTGCTACAGCATTCATTTGCTCAAAACCTTTCCTGACTTAAACTGCAAAACATAGCAATAATGGCCTTTGTCACATCTCATTAAATGTATTTTAATAATATAAAAGAATTTTGTGTATTAGTGCTTACTTGTGTAGCAATTTCATCTCCCAGTTCAATGTTCCAGAATTATTATAGTCAGATCTTGTGCTTCGATTTATTCCAGAGTGTAGTCCCTAAAAGAGAAGAAGATAGAGAAGAGTGCAGCAAAGAGAAGAAGATAGAGTGCAGCAACGATACTGATGCTAAGGCATTTTTAGGACTTACATGGTATCTTTCACACAAAGGGAGAAGGATGGCCTGCCATATTCTAGACATCTTTCAGAGATTTACAGTGCAGTCAGCCACAGGTGGCAGCTGGTATCTATGAGAAGCACAGTGCTGGTATGCAATGAAGTTGCAGAGGAATAACAACATGGATTGCCACAGGAGTTGAGACAGTCTCACACTGGTACAATTTCATTTGTTGTGGTACCTTGAGTGTGTCTGCTTAGGATGACAGAAGATGGTGCACAGCTGAAAGTGTGAATGCAGCAGCATACAAGGAAACTGCATCGCCTGGTTGTATTTTGAGAGTGATGGAGTTACTTTGGCATGAAGACGGACCCAATTATTAGTTCAGGCACAGCCCTGGAGTGCAGATTTCTTGAAGCATGTGTTGGAGAAGAGACTTGTAGAGATTCAGCTGACGCGAGTGACTTGCATTGCCCTGGCTATGCAGGGTCTGTTTGGATAAAGACTGTAACCAGCTTTGGTTTCAAGCTGGTATGTTAGCATTACTTCTAGTTCCAGAGAGAGCTTTGAATTCTCTGCACTGCGCTCCACACCAGCAGTGAGCTGGTCGTATTATTAACTACATAGTAGAAATAGTGGTAGTCACATAATTCTAAAGATTGTGATCAAAGTTGGCTTTGTTAAGCGTAAGTAAATAAACACAAATAACTGTTAGAAGAATTTTATTGGGAAGACATAAGAACAAGAAGGAAGAAGGAAGAACAATGCTTCAACCAAAGCTTTAAATAGTTATAACTGTAATTCAGTTGAACAGTGTGTGACCCTTACAGATCATTCAAGAACATTCAGAGCATTAGTTTCAAGACTGTAAATTAGAAGTGGAAGTCAGACAAAGCCTGCCACTTCCTGTCTAGATTAATTGCTGGTTAAAAGGCCGGCATTTAATTTGAGTCAACACTTCATAGTCACCTTTCACAGTGCTCCAATTGGTGTTCCACGATAGTAACTATTTCCGAGATTTGTCTTTTAATAGGTAGAAATTGATGCAAATATTTACTTTGGAACTTATTCTCCTTAATTTGCATTTTCCTCTTTGTCACCTTTCAAAGAGCTATGTTAAGAGTTTTAGATATGACCAAACAAAAAAAATCCCTAAGCTTTTTGCTGAATGGGAGCTGCAGTATTTAATTGAAATAAAGACCTCAATATGTTTGACTTGAAAGCAACAATTGTTTCAGCTTAACTGGAAAATTAGATGAAAGTGGAATAATTTTCTGGTGATTCTTATCTAAACTATGACACAGTCTTTTTTTGGCTTTTTTTTTTTTAATAAAAGTGTTTTGTAGACTAGGCTGTATCATTTACATTTCACGGTACTTCCATTTCTAACAGTGACTTCTAATGCTGCAAAAGTTTTTAAGTCTTGACAGGACAAACTGGTCTGAATTAATTTTGACCCTGCTTTCAGTACAGGGCATTGAACAAGAAAAGTCCTAGCATCCCTTCCAGCCTGAATGAACTGGTGAATCTGAATTTAGCGGTAGCACTTACAGCTCATTTCACAATAAAACATTGAGAAGCCTGATGTTGAAACAATAATATAAAAAAAATGGAGTAATAAAAAAACCTAACTTGATTTTTGCTGTGTTTTTATTTATTATAAATATCCTAATATCCATAGGGGCAAGCAGTTGATTTCTGCCTTGATAAACATTTGCCAGCCAACAAACTGTAAAAAACTGTTGTAAAAAATGGCGGTGCTTTTGCGCAAATACCCTGCAAGGACTTATTTACGGCACTGTTTGCAATGTTCTGTAGTTTTATGAGTAGACTTCTCCTTGACCATAGACTTGAAGACGCAAACATAGAGTGGCATAGACTACCTTGTTTTCACATTTAGCTATGCTTTCAAAATGCATAATGTTGCTTTAGTTTAAAATTATTTTTAGGATTGATTTTTTTTTCGTACTCCATGAGGATTCAACAGTTTTGTAGTGAGTGTCCAGTGTTGAAAATGTAATGTTTCCACAGGAACAAACTGTATGTACGATCTGTATGCTGATCGCCTACGTGAGCACATTCCTTTGGATATCCATGCTACCTCAGGGGGAACGATCTGCTATTTTAAACTGGTTGCATCCGTGGGCCATCTTATTCGTCTGTCAATAGCATCCCTTCAGATTGAAGCAGATAACTGCATCACTGACTCACTAACTGTTTATGACTCTCTGATGCCAATCAAACATAAGATACTGTACCGGTGAGTATGAATTTTCATTGAGAATTCATTGACAATCATTTGGGGCTTTTTTCTGTAGATTTGTTGACTGCATTTTTGGTGGATTTCGGTTTGTTTTGTTAAAAATACTCTGATCTTCATGCGTTATGCACACAGCACCTGGCAAAATACTTTCTTTTTTTTAGAAAAGTGGAAATGTTGATCTTACTAATAAAATAAATGATTAAATATTCTTTAAATTCTTCTTTATTCTTCAGCTAGAGTGCATCTTCACCTACCTGCAAAACTATGAGAAGTTCACACATTAGTGTGTGGATTTTTCTGTCTCTTACCGGAACGCAGATGCTGACTAAAAGAAAAAGTCAAAATTTCCTCCTCTAAGCAAAATTTTCTTCTATTTGAAGATTAGTTCTCTTCATATGAAGACTGAAGTTCTAAAACTAAGTCTCATGATTCTTTGGATACTTACTGCCACTCACCAGTTCAACGCTTTTTTTAGCTGCTCTGAGTAGTACAGAGGGTTACTAAAATCTGGAGTTGAAGATCTGAAGGGTTGAGTGTTGTGGACTAGGTCTTTTTATTATTATTATTTTGTATTATTTTTCTCTCTTTAATGACCCAGTAGGCTTTTTTGGGTATTTTTTTGTTTGAAATTCCTGGTAACTTGTTCCATATGGCTCTGTCATACTGAAACGTGAAGACAGCACCTCCATCAGGCAGATGAAGAGCTCAGTGGTTTGACCCCTGAAATCCTTATTTCTGGCTTGTCAGTGTGTGTATAAGCCTCAAAAAAGAGCACTGGCTTTTCAGTCCTCTTCAAGAGCTGTCCTCTAGTCAATCTGAATCACTCACTGACTTGTCTACAAAACAGCAGATGGTGTTCACTTACTTGTTAGTATCTGTAGAAGACTGAGGATATCTGCTAGGTAATGCACATGGAAAATAAAACTTTTTCTATGAGACTAGTTGATTGGCTCAGATTCTTCATTTCTGATTGGAAGAATAACTTGCTTCTTTCCCACTCTCCAACCCCAAGCTAAAACTGTTGGTCTAATAAAATAATTTTTCTCTTTCTACAAGCCTTTCTTTACTATTGACTTCATTTGTTTTTGTTTGGAGTGAAGGCTGAAAGTCAGTATTATCTCCTAGAGCTACATGTTCCATCTTCCTTTTCATATTTGTAATTTTTTTCTTTTTTCCCTGAGTTTCTAACCGGCCTTGTAACAGGTACTTTTATGTTAAAGACCATGGAGTTTTTACTGGGCATTGAAGCTCGGCACCAGTGGGAAAGTTATGCACTGAATGAGAGCGTTGTGTTGGGTGTTTTGGTTTTTGTTTGTTTGTTTTTTACGATTGCTTATATATGTACTCTCCTTTCTTCCACCTCAGAGCTTGTGAACCAGGCGATTCATTGATGTCACTCGTGTCCACAAATAATCTCATGCTGGTAATGTTTAAGGCAGCACAAATAAAGGAACAGAAGGAATTCCATGGCTATTTTGAGGTCATTACACAAGAAAGTAGGTTTGGACTGTGTTTGTAAATGTGTTTATTGTATTGTTGCTGCCTGAGATCCCAAAGTGGCTATCATATTCCTGACTATGGACGAGTGACTCCTCTATCTCAGTTTCTTTTTTTACACATGCCTGTGTCTCTCCTTCATCTCCCCTGCATTACTGGGCATCTGCCTTCCTCTTGTGTGATTTGATCTGTGCAGATTAGTTGTTCTTAAGCGACATAGGAAGGTAGATGGCTGAAACCAGCACTGACTGAATTCAGTTGGTCAGGACTGCAATGTGCCAGTAGATGGAGTTGTTATTCCAGGCGTAGCACTGCTCTGGACTCTTGGTTTGGGACTCAGGGGCGAAGTTAAAGGCGCAAGGAGTTCAGCACTGAGAAGTAGATTCAGAAAGTAAAACTTTGGTAGCTTTGTCTGCATTTTCCATCGGTCCCTGCCTCCTCCTTAACACAAAGCTGTCTGAGGAGCTGGCAG